GATGTATTTAGTTGATGTATTTAGTTGCAGTATTTAGTTGCAGTATTCATTTGCAGTATTCATTTGCAGTATTTAGTTGCAGTATTCATTTGCAGTATTTATTTGCAGTATTTATTTGATGTATTTAGTTGCAGTATTTAGTTGCAGTATTTAGTTGATGTATTTATTTGCAGTATTCATTTGATGTATTTAGTTGCAGTATTTAGTTGCAGTATTTAGTTGCAGTATTTAGTTGCTGTATTTAGTTGCTGTATTTAGTTGCAGTATTTAGTTGATGTATTTGCAGTATTTAGTTGCAGTATTTATTTGCAGTATTTAGTTGATGTATTTAGTTGCAGTATTTATTTGCAGTATTTATTTGATGTATTTAGTTGATGTATTTAGTTGATGTATTTAGTTGATGTATTTATTTGCAGTATTTATTTGATGTATTTAGTTGATGTATTTATTTGCAGTATTTATTTGCAGTATTTAGTTGCAGTATTTATTTGCAGTATTGATCTTGTCATCAGAACACTGACTGGTGAAACATACCTTTCCTAGAAGAGGAGCTCACTAACTCTCTATTGTCTGAACAGACTTACGTGTCACCTTCACTCTGCTCACACGCACGCGCTGCAGCACCAGCGTGCGCGCGTAACACTGACACAGATCCTGGATCGTTTACATCCGGCCCTCCGCGCGCTGCGTTCAGCTTCTTTTGTTGCACCGCAGCGACCCTCAGCCTCCACTATACCAGCATGCACCGCTCTCCGCCTCACGAGCCTCACATGCACGTCGATCACCGGCCTCACAGCCCTCCTGCTCGGTGCCACGGTTATGGGCGTCTGCAGCGGTACACCGGGAGGAGACGGGCGGGTTAACGGAGAGCGGAGGAGGAGGAGGAGGATGCTGGATGAAGATGCTGGATGCGGTCTAACTCATGCATGTAGAAGCTTACAGCGGTCTGAATGATGGAGCGCCCCACCCAACAGAAGACCAGAGACCAGAGAGTCTTTACCTGCAGAGCCGTACGACTTCGACAGCAGCCACCGGACGCTGGCGCGGATCTTCGCACGGTTGAAGTCGTATCGGTCCAGCGGTTTGATCTCCGGCACCGAGGTCTTCTTCATCATCACCGCGCTGGGAGAGTCCACCATGGCCGCGCTGCATGCGCCGCACGGAGGACACGGAGGCACCGGGAGACTGAGAGGAGAGAGGAGGGAGGGAGGAGGGGGGGAGAGGAGAGAGGAGGGGGGGGGGGGGGGGGGGGGGGGGGGGAGGGGAGAGAGGGGGAGGAGAGAGGAGGGAGGGAGAGAGAGGAGGGGGAGGAGGGAGGGAGGACTGAGCCTGTGATGAGGAGAAACACTGGAGCATAATCATCATAACAACATGGGTGATTTTATAAATATGCGTCTGAATGTTATGAATTAATAAAATAAAATTCTCACTTCCGGGCGTGTCCACGCGCTCGTCAACAGGAACTCAGCAGAAACAGACCTGATCACCTGATCGATGACCTGTGAATACCCCCCCCCCCTACATGTCAGTCACAGAGGCCCCGCCCCCTGCCCCTTGAGCAAGGCAGCAGTTGCTCCAGCAGGTCCAGATCAATAAAGTCCATCACTGGCAACAGTGACGTCATGTAGTTCACCGAAATAAACTACAAAATAAACGAGGCGGTAAAGAACAGACTAAACGTGCTCGACGTTCTTCTCTGATCGGCTCCATCTTTGAATCTGATTCGTTTTTAATGATTCAGAATCATTTGTTCTGTGAAACCTAAAAAAATTTGATTGAAATATAATTTAATGTATGAAATACAGATTCCTCTTGACAAACGTTAAGGTGAATACTTCATACTTCATAGTTTTGCATCATTGATCAGCTGATGCTTTTCTCTGACGCATCAGATTTAACTTTGTTTATTAAAAGTCAAATAAACTGAAATAGAATTAACGCTTAAATGATTTTATGTTAAATAAAATACTCACCGACAGAAACACAGCAGCTGAAGAGACTTTAAAGTCATAATATAATATATGATATTATGTGTGCGTAAAAGGAAACCCACATCAACGTGTTTAAAAGTCTTTTGTTCAGATGCAAAAAGTTGTTTTAGCAGAAAAATAATGAATCAACTCGTTAAACTTTATTCTAATCTGATGGAAACAGGAAACAGGAAGCAGGAAGCGGGTTAGTGCTCATGAAAGTCTCAGTCTGCAACATTTGTAATGAAATAAATGAATAAATCTCTGAAGGTCACTCGATGTGGATCTCTGGTCCTCTGATGAAAGTATTGCAGTATTACGTATTCTGAGGGGACAATCCTGGTTCTTCTTAACAGTACGAAATTAAACTCTGCTCATAATTCAGAAGCATTAACAGAAAGACTCCAGACGGACAAACTGAACACGAATATCAACAGAACCGGGACTGAAACCTGAAGGATTTCCACTTTAACACAGAATCAAAGCTGCAGAAACAGAAAACAACGTTTTATCTCTGTTTTTAGAACAGTTTGCAAAACTTTCTGTGTAAAATACCCAAAATATCAACAATCCTCAGGTTTAACGCCAGACCACCGGGGGGCTCCAGACCACCTACTGAGTCCAAACCATCTGACATCACAGAGATCACGAATAAATGAAAGGAGAATAAAGAAATGAGTGAGAATAAAGTCCATACATACATACAATCAGTATTGTTCCAATATTGGACAAATTGTAAATTTCTAAACCCTAAAGAATATTTTTACTCCCCCCATCACCCTGTGTGACTCCTCCCCCATCGCAGGACCTCAGGTGGGAGCTCAACATCAGCTCCATCACCAAGAAGGCTCAGCAGAGGATGTACTTCCTGAGGCAGCTGAAGAAGTTCAACCTGCCAAAGACAATGATGGTGCACTTCTACACAGCCATCATTGAGTCCATCCTCTGCTCCTCCATCACGGTCTGGTACGCTGCTGCCACTGCCAAGGACAAGGGCAGACTGCAGCGCATCATTCGCTCTGCTGAGAGGGTGATTGGCTGCAATCTGCTGTCCCTCCAGGACTTGTTCGCTTCAAGGCCTCTATCAGGACCAAGACCTCCATCAGGACCAAGACCTCACGCCACATGAACAGTTTCTTCCTGTCTGTAGTCGGGCTCATCAACAAAGACCAGGACCCACTGACTCTGTCACCCCCAGGACAACCTCCTGCCGGTCAGTCCCCTACACATCCCTTCATATTTAAACACACTTGATACTTTTAACATTTCACTTGATTACAGTCCTGTTATCCGTTTGTTGTGCAATTTATTTTATATTCTTTTGTAAATGTTAATGTTTCTATTTCTTGCACTGTGTAGATTGTTGTTGATCGTTTAATGTTATGCACCTCCCGCCATGATAAACTCCTTGTATGCGCAAACTTCCTGGGCAATAAACGGTTGTGATTCTGAACGCCTGGAGTCAGCTGACGGGGGCGCTACCCAACAAGAAACACAAGAAGAAGAGCAACCTGCCACTGAGCAAACTGAACCTGAAGACGGAGAGGAGTTCCCAGGAGGTCTCCAACGGAGGAGCTTAGGAGGAAGAGGGAGGGGCTTAGGAGAGCCGATGAGGACATTTTCTGTCCATCAGTGATGAAACCACATGAGACAGAGCTTCTAACAGAGTTTTAATGTGGTCTGAGTCTCTGAATGCAGATCATCATGAAGGAAACGAGGCGTTACATGAACATCCTGATATTAATATTAATATCAGTGATGCTGCTTTCAATGAGCTGTACAAACATCTAAAGCTTTACATCACCATCAGCTGTGAGACGGAAACAAGCGTTTAATTAAATTAAATAAAAGCCTGGAGGACGATGCAGCTTCTGTTGCATTCTGGGAACAAAGTGGATCTGATCAGCGTCATAAAGACTTTATCCATCTAATGGATGCTTTATTAACGGTAACAAACATCTGTTCAATGTGTGTTTATGATCATAAATCAAATAACATTTATAAAGAAAAGTGATCTCAGCTGTTAGAAGATATTCATAATAATAATAAAATGATCTTTCAGTCATCTACAACCTTTAGTCCGTCTGAGTCCACAACTGGTTTCCATCAGAAGGGGGTCTGGACCTGGATCCTCCTGGACCTCACTGGGAGGACCGGGGTGGACAAAATAACGGAGACACACAGACCCACAAACGAGAGCCGTCAGACTGCTTTGGTCTCAGACACAAGTCCATCGAGAGGACGAGACCACGAGACAGACTGAGACTAGGTCTTGTTGCTGCTGTCCCTCAGGGTGTCTGTCTTTCAATCAGAGGAGACGTCCTCTGCTCTTAAAGCACAGTTTGTCTTAAAAGAATAAAGAGTTTAGGACACATCCGTCTCTCAGTGTCTCTTCGTGTCTCCGATGGTTCGAGTCCCCGTCAGGTCTCTGAGGCGGTGACGTCCTCCGAGCCGCTGCAGATGAGAGGCGTCCCGTTGGTCCCGTCTGTCGGCTCGGCGGCCCGAGACTTGAAGTTCTACAGACAAGAGAGGTGGAGAGACGGACGAGAAGGTGAGGACAGAGGAGGAGCCGGAGGGACACCAGAGACACAACACCAGAGGGACGGAGGACGGAGGATTAGACGGGAGGAAACAGGAAGTGGAGAGAGGAAGGAGAGAAATGTGTTAGTCGGGACCAGAGCGGCACGAAGAGGAGACGACGGTCTGATGGACACAAAGACGCAGACGGAGCAGCTGATCTCACTTTATGCATTTATTCATTTCACAACGTTGGTACAAAAAACAAACAACAACAACAACAACAGGATTAATAAAAATGTGGAGTTTGATTTAAAGAACGTCTGTGTCTCTCACGTCAATGTCACCAGTGTGTGTGTGTGTGTGTCTCTAACATACACCAGAGTAACAAGTCAGAGGAAATGTGGCTCACATCTGGACCGCTTTAGGACGAGACCACCAGAGCGTGATGGGACGCACACACATTTTAGATTTTAATGAGAGAGTGTCATCACACGAAGAACCACGAACGGCCAATCAGAGACAAGCTCATTCTGTTCTCCGATTGGCTGAAATAGCGACACATCAGGAAATAAACGTCTTTTCTCTCAGCGTCTCACGCATCTATAAGGGTGTTGTGTAAAATGATTGTGTGTGTGTGTGTGTGTAAGTGTGTGTGTAGGTGTGTGTGTGTGGGGGTGTGTGTGTGTGTGTGGGTGTGTGTGTGTGTGGGGGTGTGTGTGTGGGGGTGTGTGTGTGTGTGTGTGTGTGTGTGTGGGGGTGTGTGGGTGGGTGTGTGTGTGTGGGTGTGTGTGTGGGTGTGTGTGTGTGTGGGTGTGTGTGGGTGTGTGTGTGGGTGGGTGTGTGTGGGTGTGTGTGTGGGTGTGTGTGTGGGTGTGTGTGTGGGTGTGTAGCGTCTGAGAGAAACCTTGTGAGAACAGGAAGTGTAGCTTTATAGATCATATGAATGTTTAGAGGAGGAGGCGACAGGACGTCTCTTATAGAACATCGTGTTAAGACGAGTCTCACAGAAGCTGTTAAGTCATAAATCATCAACATGTATCAACCAATCAGCTCTGTGGAGGATCAATATGTTACAGGAACAACTGTCAGGTTAGTTTGGTTTAAACTGATTTAGAACCGCAGCCACAGAGCTTTTATTGTGAAAGGGTCGCTGTGAGAGAACCAGGACTGATTTACTCCAATAAGCAATTATTAATTGATTGATCAATTAGTAGTTTCATCTATAAAATGTCAGAAAGACGTCCTAAAATGTTTATTCAGAATATAAACTTTTAAGAATTTGGACTTTTCAAACTGCAGAATAATTCGATAGTTAACGAATCAATTAATTAATGAAGCCAATTGTTTTCACAACTTCACATGATAATTAATAATAATAAGATGAATTATTCCTTTCATCATTGACCACGCCCCCCCCCAAGTGCCGGCGGCCCCCCCGGTGCTGTCGCTCAGTACCTCTTGCTCCATGTTGGTGTTGAAGTGAACCCCCGAGCTGCTCTGGTCTCCGCGCCGCCGCCGGCACACGTAGCACAGGATCTCCTTGAAGGTCCTCCTCATGTCCTTGTCCCTGAAGGAGTAGATGATCGGGTTCACGAAGGAGTTGCACTCGGCCAGAACCAGGAAGTACTTCTCAAACTTAAGCACGCTGCAGCTTTCACAGCCCAGACCGTCCAGCAGCAGAATCACCAGACCGGGGGTCCAGCAGAGCACGAAGCAGCCTGGGGGGGGGGGTTAGGACAGGGGAGGTTAGGACAGGTCTCTGTGAGTGTGAGAGAGAGAGCGAGTCACCGTGACATTGGACACAGCAGTCATGTTTCCTCTCTAAAAGGTGAACGAGGTTTTTTCTCATTTAAAAAAACAAAACAAAACAAAAAAAGGGCAAAATAAGCATAAAAAATATAAATATCTAATGTGCAACAAAACAAATATTTAATCGCGATTAATCTCATTATTATGGCAAAGTTCAATAATGAATTCAAAAGTAGTGTATTGCGCACTTTTATTTTAAAGTACTGCTATATGAACAAAAGGGCAATAACAATTGGTTCACGAGATGCAGGCAGCATGTTTTATACTTAATGTGAATATAATTCATACTTTGTTAGCATCTTATTCTGAAAACCAGATGTTCGTCTGAAGAAACCGGATGTCTCACGGTAATCTTTCCGCTAACTTTCAAAGTCCTTCGCTCGCTCCGATCTGTGCCGTTTAAATGCGTTTACCGTGAATGTCAGCATATAGGTGCACTAACATGCAAGTGTCTGCTGAGTTGACCACGGAGATCCGAGTGTCTGCTGACTTTACCGCAGCGATGTCCAGTAGTCTCCAGGGAGAGCAACAGCTGGTGGACCTCATCAGTACTAACCAGAGGGGCCGTGTGTTTTATACCGGGGCCTTCAGCGCCGTCCTGCAGCTGAACCACCTCCTGATAACCTCATGATGGCGCCACAGATACGGGCAGTATTTGTTTCTATTGGTGTAACAATACACGTGTTGATATTGAACTGTTCGGTACGAGGCTTACGAACCGAACAATACGTTTGAATAATACGAGTGCGTTTGTGCTGGAATAATACAGAATGATATGTGCATAGTGCTTGTACCTTCTTCACGATGCTTAGAAACAGACTGAGCACCGGCTTCAATACAGCCTTCAGCTCCACACCACCTCGCTAATCACAGAAGGTTTTTGAAGACAGATATCACATTTGCTTCAAAGAGTTACACACCTGGGCAGGAACCCACACAGCCACACTATTACACATGAATCAACCAAGAAGATGGTTCAACCTGGTCCAAACCTTCACTACACCAGGCACTTAGAGACGGAGCTCTGAGCAGCTACGAGACACATACTGTATGTGCTGTGACTCTGCTCCTTCTTGCAAGAATAAATCTCCTGATCATTGATTGAACACTTGGTGTTGAGTAGAGTTTTTCTAACAATTTGGAAAATGCAGAAGCTTAAATTGTGGGAAATATAATGTTCTTTTGGTGGAGCCACTGCGCTCAACCTGGCAACCCACCCACGTCACAGACAACATACTGCCTGACACGCCCACCGAGGAAGAAAAACATTGTACCCTGGGGAGGCGCGTGTGTTCTGGGAGGCTATGCTAAACTAGCTTAGCAGGAAAGCCAACACGCTACACTCTCCCCGCAGCGTTTATCTGTTCTCTACTGATTCAAACAGGCTGAAGCAACCGCCACACAATCCACATCTCTCCAGACCATCATTCCTGCTCTGTAAAAGAAAAGAAAACCCCAAACAGAGAATCACATGTCCGACCCTAACCCCGCGATAACGGGATGCTGTGTCATTAACGGACAATGCATAGAGTCAGAATCAATGTAATTAACACAATGACAAGAACAAACTCACAAGAACCAGTCACATGTATTCATATGACAACAAAGCAACAAATCAATCCAGCAGACCTGCAGCGCTAAAACACGTATTCATCCGCACACTGAAGAGCACGAGCCATTCAGATATTATTACATCAGAGGGAACAATATTAACCAGATCATAAAAACACCACCATAGTGCAACACCATGAACACAGTAGTAACGCTACTGCAGAGGTACAAACACAAGCAGTTCACTTACAAAAGCTGCTGTTCACTTAAAGACAAAGTCCATCCTCCTTTCTTTGTTTACAAAGAGGGCGACTGTGGATAGCAGGGCCGTCTTTCAATCAGAGGGTCGGCGGTTCAATCCCTGTCTCCGGCTCTGCATGTCGATGTGTCCTTGAGCACGACACTTAACCCCAAAATTGCTCCCGTAGCTGTGCCTCCCGTGTAGAAATGTGATAGACTCTGAATTGTAAGTCGCTTTGGATAAAAGTGTCTGCTAAATGACTGTAATGTAAAAGAGTTCAATGACGCGGTTGTACAGAACATCGGTTCAGTTCCAGCCAGAGGTCCTCCTGTGAACGTGTTCGTTGAGTTGTAGATCTACTCGGGTCTCAGCTAAAGTTTTCAAAAGCACGTAGCTTGTAAGTGTCCTGCTGTGCGATGGTGTCGTGTTGCTGCCTTGGTTTAGTTAGCGTAGCGTAGCTCCAAACACCAAGACGCTCAGTCGCAAATAAAACGCATTATCAGCCATAGAGACGACGCTGTTAGACAGAAATACCGTTCGCACAAATCCTTTTCCTGGCTGCGTCAGGGCTGCTAGCTGTGGGGTTGTTGACCCTTTCTTACGACGCCCAGCTTTTCCTGAAATGTTTTCCAGAAAGATGTTGTCAGTAACTCACAAATCTGTTCCTCCTCTTCCTTCAGCCATTGAGTGTTAAAAAAATGCTAAAAATATCATGTCAACATAACTTCTTACATATCTTTCAACTTGAACTCTTACTCCTAATACTAACTTCTGCTAGCTGCTTCACAACAGTCACGCTAGCCCACTGACCAATCACGTACTTGTAGGCCAGCTAGCAGCTCTGACACGTCAAAGAATACGCCCAACATGTCAAACTAAAGATCTGATTGGTTGAACACTATGACAATCAACAATATCGTCCCCATTCACTTAAAGTGCACATGGATGCACTTGTGAGTCTGCAGGCCTCTGCCTCTGTTCTTACCTAGAGACACAGAGGTGAGATCTGATTGGATAAAAGCTCTACTTAAAACAAGCTGCACTGGAAGCAGAGCGACTGAGGAAGACAGGAGCTGTGCAATGAGAACATAAGATAATGGGGAAAATATTTATATAAATTATAATACATGTAGTGTATTTAAGAAACATTATGAAATTATAAAATAGATATAGCTTTGTGATTCTGTTTAGGCCAGCAGAGAAGGCTTTGCAGGCCCTGACGGCCCACCACTGAGACAAACGGATCTTTACTAGTTTAGAACCGGTTCCGTCCTGCAGGGGGCAGCACAGAGAGAACTTGTGATGACGTTAGAACAGAGAGCTGAAGAATGTGAAGTCTGTACGATCATGTTTCATTATCACAACACTCACAATGGAATGCTCACATCCTCACACACACACACAAACAGTGTGTCATGCATTCTTCAGCTACATTCAAACAAAGATTAACCCTCACACGTCCGTCTAAAGCGTGTCAGAACCTCACAGGCTGCTTCCTGTCAGAACACGCTCAGGGTTTTATTACTCGGATGCTCTGTTGCCGAGCAACGGCAGAAAGAAGTGCAACATTATTAGAAAAGAGAAAAAGAGCAGAGGAGTGTGTGTGTGTGTGTGTGCGTCTCCTCCTCACCCAGGATCATGGAGACGGTCTTCATCAGGTTGAACACCGTCTCTCTGTACCTCATCTGACTCGTGTGCTGAGACATCTGCTTGCTCTTGTGTCTGACGTAGAGGAAGATGCGGGTGTAGACGGCCACCATGATGGAGAAGGTCAGCAGGTTGAGGACGCCCCAGAACACCAGGTAGCTGCGGCTGTACAGCGGCGCCATGGTGGAGCAGTCGTTCAGGTCGCACAGGCAGTGCCAGCCCATGGTGGGCACCAGACCCATGAGGATGGCCACCAGCCAGATGACGATCATGATGACGAAGACGCGCCGGGTGCTCATCTTGCTGTGCAGCTGCATGTTGAAGATGGTTTGGTGGCGCTCCACGGCCACGGCCAGCAGGTTGAGGACGGAGGCCGTCAGGCTGGTGTCAATCAGACCCTGACGCACAAACCACCGGTACTTGCTCAGCTTGATGGTCCAGGGACCGGTGTGGAACATCAGGTGGAGGTAGGAGACACCTGCAGGAGGAAACAAACACGGTATCACTAACGTAGTGTAAATAAAGTTAACGTTAAAACTTTATTTACACTGCGATGGTTAACGTTAACATCAGAGTGTAAATAAAGTTTTAACGTTGACATCAGAGTGTAAAT